TCAGATTTGACTATCATAAATCTACACACTTGGAAAAAATTAGGAAAACCAACCATGCTAAGATCTAATAAAATGGCCAGGTCCGTGACAGGCGAGAAAATCTAGTTTGAGGGAGAACTTATCACAAATGTAACTTTTCGTGGAATGACGTTAAAACTAAAAACGTACGTATTTATTTGGCACCGACTGGATGGAGAAATTTAAGTTGTGGAATATGCCAATTAATTCATTTTGACCAAAACTCTAAAACCTGACCACCGAAGCAAAAAAATCTATTAAAAGATTTAAAAGAAACTTTTCCGGAAATTTTTTCTGGGGGCCTTGATCGGTGTAATAAAATGACGGCAAAATTCGAGTTAAAAGATAACATCCATCCAGTGTTTAAGAAAAAAGAAATATGCCTTTCGCCTCTTTACCACAAATAAATGAAGAACTCAATAGACTAGAAAGAACCGGGTTCTTGTCGAAAATTGAGTAGAGTCAATGGTCTTCATCGACCGTCTATGTGAAAAAGAAGTCAAAGGAGATCCAGGTCTGCGCCGATTTCTCGACGGGGCTTAATGCTGTACTCAAAGACTATCACTATCCTTTACCAAGCCCGGAAGAAATTTTCGCGAAACTGAATGGAGGAATTTTTTTCAATAATCGACCTCAATGACGCATATCTTCAAATACCTGTAGAGGAAGAATGTTCTAAGTTGCTCTGTATCAACACCAATCGTTGTTTGTACAAGTTCCAACGTCTATCTTTCGGAATCAAGGTCGCGCCGGCAATCTTCCAACAAGTATGGACACTATTGTTGTGCAGTCTTGATTTCGCTGTTGCATATTTAGACGACATATCAATAAACAGCCAAAATGTAGAACAACTCAAGGAACATGTTCATAAAGTCTTTTCAAGAATTCAGGAGTACGCGTTCAAATTGAAAGAATCCAAATGCGACTTCTTTATGGAGAAGGTTAAATACTTGGGCCACATTATCGACAAAGATGGCAGAAGGCCACATCCAGAACGGGCTACCGCAATCAAGGAGATGCCAGCTAACGAAAACGTCTCTTCATTACAAAGTTTTTTAGGATTGGCAAACTACTACCAAGTGTTTATACTTAATATGCACAACTTACGTGTTCTTCTAAATGAACTTCTGGAAAAAGACAAGGACTGGGAGTGGATACCGGAATGACAGAAAGCATTCGTCAAAATAAAAGAAGTCTTGACGTCGGACTTGTTTTTCACCCACTATAACCCAAATCTGGACATTATAGTTGCCAGCGATGCCAGCTCGTATGGCATTGGAGCATGTATTCGGCACAAGATGCCAGATAGATCTCACAAATCAGTTGTTCACGCGTCGAGAACACTTCATCTTGCAGAGAATAACTACTACCAAATTGAGAATGAGTCGTTAGGGATTATTTTCGTAGTAACGAAGTTTCAACTGTACATTCACGGTAGACGCTTTACATTGCAGACGGACCATAAAACATTACTTACCATTTTCGGTTCTAAAAAGGTCTGCCTGTACATACAGCAAATAGACTACGAAGATGGGGAACAATCCTCTTAAATTATAGCTTCAAGATGGAGTTCCTACCGTCTAAAAAACTCTGTCATGCAGATGGACTATCCAGATTAATCCCAAAACAAAGGGAACCTCTTGAAGATACTGTGATTGCTTCTCTTCGAACAGGAGAAATTTAAACCACATTATGCAACACAGTAAGAGAACTCCCTGTAAATCAAACAAGAATATCTAAACGATGAGTTTATCAAGCAAACCAAAACCAAAATTGGTGAAAAGGACCAACAAACATCAGATATTTTCTCCCTATGCGACGAAGTACTGCTATATAGTGAGCAAGTCATCATTCCCACAACGCTATGAACAAGAATTCTGAAATATTTCCATGCTGGTTACCCAGGGATTACAAGAATGAAAAGCCTTATGCACAGTTATGTGTAATGGCCGTACATAGATAAGGATATTAGAAACATCGCAAAATCCTGTAAAGGCTGTGCCTTGGCAGCTAAGGTACCCCCAATCAAATATAGTCCTTGGCCTAAAACGGACCGACCATGGTCCCGAATACATGTAGACTTTACAGGCCCGCTAAACGGATTTTACTATCTCATAGTAGTAGATAGTTTTTCGAAATGGCCCGAAGTCCTAAGATGTAGAAAAGCCACTAAGAAGTTACAATCAATTTCCTCCACAAAGTGTTCGCCATATTTGGGGTAGTCGATTGTCTAGTGTCCGACAACGGGACACAATTTACGTCCGGTGACTTTAAGGATTTTTGTGAGACCTTCCAGATCAATCATATCACGATCGCCCCATATCACCCAAGGTCCAACGGACAGGCTGAGTGCTTCATTGATACACTGAAAAGAGCCCTGAAGAAAGCTAAAGACACACCCACAGAAAAAGCCCTACAACAATTCCTTCAGGTGTATAGAATTACGCCCAACGACAACACACCATCATCATTAACCCCACCCGAGGTAATGTTTGCGTGTAAAATCAGGGCTGAGTTCGACAAGCTACTCCCCAAACAAACAAAATCCGGACGAACAAACACTGTACCGGAAAAAAAAAAAAAAAAAAAACAAAAAAACACTACCAACCCGGAGAGAAAGTTTCTTTTCGGATGTTTCGTGATAAATCTTTCTGGGAAATGGGTTACAATTGAGAAAAGAGTAGGAAATATGATCTGCATAATTAAAGGTCCCCAGTTTACTCATAAGACACATTTGAACTGACAGCAGTCCTCCTGAAGAAAAAGAAATCACGGATGCCATTTACGATACTTCTGACATGCCAATACCTCAAGCGGCCCCAGAGCAATGCTGTTTAAAGAGGAAAAGGAAAATGACGGATTTATTCGTCGTTAAAACCAGAGAAAAAAAGTATTGATACTCCTGAGGGGTTAATACTTAGGAGAGGGTTGTTATAGTAATTTACCCACGCACACATGGACTCTCCCGGCTACAAATAAGAGCAGTTACTGCCTTTTGGAGGGTGAATTTTCCAGCAGTCAGCTCTGCCAGTTGGACTGAACATTCTTGCTGTAACACTCTCGTTTGTATATGTTTGTATTACTATTTCTGTTAATATATTTGTTTATCTCAATTCCTCACTTGTGACTTTATTTCTGGCCCTAACAAGGTCACAACACTATCTATCTGATGTTCATTATCACACTCACACACTTACTCATAATAATGATAAGTATAATAATGTGTTCGTGTACACTTATCAGAATGGCTGTCATAATCGGTGTATGTTTAAACCAGTGTCACTTTGTTGACGTACTGCACTCTCGCTCACTCACTCAATCAAATCATATACAATCATATACAATCAATCACACACCTCAAGAATCACACACACACACACACACACACACACACACACTTGCACACACAAACACTAACCAACTCTCTTTCTCTCTCTCACACACACACACACTCACTCATTCATAATAATCATACTTATTATAAAACCCAGGTTGTGTGTGTGTGTGTGTGTGTTTCTGTGTGTGTGTGTGTGTGTGTCTGTAAGGATATATTGGATCGGATTTCCTACATTTTTTAACTGATTTCAACAAAACTTCACAGGACTACGTAAAATTACCTTGCGGTGGTTCTGATAGCAAAAAAATTGAAAAAACACAATTGTTTTTGCACAAAATCAATTTGAAAACACGATTAAGAGGCATCGCGAGAATGAAAGGGGGACAACTCATATCGAGTTATACTTATTATAAAACCCAGGTTGTTTGTGCGTCTGTGTTCGTTTATATATGGGATTGGGTTTCCTACATTTTTCAACCGATTTCAACAAAACTTCACTTTTTTTTTGGCAGGTAGTGTTTCTTATTGTCTTGCACACTTTTTTTTTATTTTTATATTCAGAATGCTTTAAAAAATTCATTTACAAGACAATTGTTTATAATAAAATTATATTCAATCGGTAGACTCATAACGATTGAAAACAATGTTTTGTTTGAGTTTGGTTTTGACCAATTTGTAAAAAAACCCCAAAAAACAAACTAATTAAGACATGCGTGTTCGTCAATTTTAAACAATAATCTTTGTCAGTTTTATTTTTCAGTCTTTATGATGGTCGATACTTGATCTATCTCATACTGTTACATCCCCAGGCAACGCCGGGCTCTACTGCTAGTGATAAATATAATAATGAATCCGTGTACACTTCTCACAATTATTGTCAAAATGGTCGTATTTTTAAGCGTCACTTTGTTGGCCTGCTTCACACACACACACACACACACACACACACACACACACACACACATAATAATAATCTTTCCATGTATAATAAATATCTGTCCGTGTACACTTATCAAAATGGCTGTCATAATGGGTGTATATTTAAAACAGATTTTTGGTGTGTTGCCTCACTCAGTAATATTAATAATAACAATAATAATAAAAACCAACAGGCCTGATATTATCATAAAGAAGAAATTCAGAAAGTGTATGGTTATTGACATAACAGTACGATTTGAGAGAAACACCTTCATGAAAATTATCGAGAAATTGTCCAAATAAAAAGACCTTGTGATCGAGATAAACAGGATGTGTGGAATGAAGACTGAAACTGTATCAATAGTAATCGGAGCTTTGGGCCTCGTGAGAAAAAGACAATTTTACTAAGTGTCCCAGATAACATCAACATTCAAATTTCTAAAGAATCTTAATTCTTCTGTTATTGATTGCGTATGATTATGTCGTGTTTGTAGCGGATAAACACAATTTACACATGTTAGAGATAATCAATTAAAGCCAGATTTATACAATTATTAGAAAATCTCTCTCTCTCTAATTACACACCATTTACCTCTAGCTAAGTTTCACACACGTCGTACTCTACTCAAAACAATTTTTAGACAGTCATTATCAATTCGACTCTCGTTTGCCACAAATGCCTACAACTACGTCCGTGTGTTTTCCTTACATAGGTTATAAGAGAAACCGGACGATAGCACAATGAGAGAGAGAGAGAGAGAGAGAGAGAGAGAGAGAGAGAGAGAGAGAGAGAGAGAGAGATCGCATGCACACTAACCATAGAAGCTATCTGGAGCACTACTGACTGCCCGCCCGACCATTAGGCTGCGGAAACGACCTCATGTGAACACAGGCTACTATCAACGCGACAAACTTAAATGAATAACCACCAAGCAATCAGCTGTGTTAAGCACACCCCCTTTTTACGCTCTGACACCTCGTACATCGCACAATCGAATACAACTTAACTGAGACATTTTCAAGTTCTACGACAATAAAATACCCGTAGAAATTTCCCTTTCGCATCATTAAATATTTCAGCTTAACAAAATATTGCAATAACAACAATAAATAAGAATTCTGGCCGTTATTTTAAGAAAAGGGTAGAAATGAAAAGATTTGAAATTGACAACATTTTCTATTTCACTGAAACAAATAATGAGACACTTCCATCTTCCATTTCTTTCTTTCTTTCTTTTTTTTTTTTTTCTTTCTTTCTTTTTTTTTTCTTTTCTTTCTTTCTTTCTTTCTTTCCTCACTCAAACCAAGTAGTGTTTTTATAATCTTTCCACGCGATCAAACGGAATAGGCTATTATTTATGCGGCAGGACGTCACGGTCGTGCGAATTGACGAAGGGAGAAACAAGCACAATTATAATAGGATAATCAAATTGCACGGTATTAGCATCTACCTAACATAACACTCGGCATGATAGAGCGAGCCAATATCTGCACTGGAAAACTTGCAACTTTTACGGAAAGGAAACTGCTAGAAATTGGTATGAACATCACCCAGACCCAGTTCAAGAGATAGGACATGTAGCAATTTTATTGAACTTTACAACTCACACAAATCGAACAATCAAAACTAATTGCCCAGACATCGTGATCAAAGACCAAACAATCAGAAATTCTTTCTTATTGACATGGCAGTCCCTGCAGATTGTAATGTATTTTTGAAGATCTCCAAAAAAACTATTTAAATACAAGGATGTTAAAGTGGAAATCTAAAAAATGTGACGCATGAGGACATCAATAATTCTAGCTGTAGTTGGAGCCATTCGATTGATTGGAGAAGGTTCCGATAGACTCACTGAAGGGATCCCTGGGAAAAAGAATTGTTTAAAGAAAAAAAAAAAAAAAAAGAAGAGAAAAATATTCCCACAAGTACAGCTCACATATTACGCAGGGCTTTAATCTAAGTAAAATATGTACGATCTTATTTTTTATGTTTTATATTTTTTACAAAAATTTTCAGTTTGAAGATGCCATGATGTCATTTCTGACCTAAAGTCTCTGGTTGGGACCCGGAAGGAAATGAGTATACAACAGAAATCAAAGGAAATGATTGTTTGATTGATTTTGAATGATTTGTTTTATACAGCTTATCAACCTTTAGTAGGTTATTTAAAGCCAGAAAATATTTTTAGATTGTAAGAATTTATTTTTCCGATAGTAATGATTTAGTGATACAAGTCTAATTGATTAGATTGGAGTTAGAAGAGGTGAATTCATCCCTTCCCCAAAGGTATTTGTGCGTAAGTGAATATAACGAACCCAACAGGAATTGGAACTTAGTTCTCCTATTAACAATTCCGAGCCGTTATTCATTACACCGCCCGCACATCCAACTTACAGCACCTGGTATTCCCAAGCGATTAGCCATCTAGGCACTGACCAGGCTCGACATTGCTTCACTTTGGTGATTGCACGGGAAGTTGTGTTTCAGTGGGAAATAATAATAATAATAATAAAACGGTGCCTCCTTATTGATATGGCAGTCCCTGCTGACTGCAATGTATCTTTGAAGATATTCAAAAAGCTGTCAAAATACAAGGACCTTTCAATAGAAATCTCGAAAATGTGGCATATGGGAACATCAACAATCCCTGTTGTAGTTGGAGCCCTAGGACAGGTTGGAAAAGATTGCAGTAGACTAATTAAAGGGATTCCTGGAAGTCCATGCCTCAAGGAGATACAAAAAATTGTTCTGACAAGTACAGCCCACACTTTACGAAGGGCTTTATCTATGTAATATTTTTTTTTTGTCAGTGGAAAGTGTCATGACGCTATTTCTAACCTTTGGTCCCTGGGCGGGACCCGGAAAGAAATGTGTAAACGCCAGAAATCAAAGAAAATAAAAATAATAATAATGTTGTAAATACAAACGAAATTTACATCTAGTAGATTCTGTTGAAAACCAAAACAGAACCCTTTTTTAAAGCATTATGAAAAAGAAAACCAAGAATAAAGCTCTTGAACAGATGACACAATGCTGGCAAAAGAAACCTCTGCATGACCAATATTCAGAACATGCTAAAATTAACACTCATAAAATTGATAAAAGTTAATAAAATTAACACCCATCGATGGTTACGAGCATCTGGATTAGAGGCTGAAATGGAAGGCTTTATTCTTGCAGCGGAAGACCAGAGTCTTTTCATTAGAATTTCATACATAATAGTGTGGATTGAAAAATGTAGGGTCTGTAACAAATATCAGGAAACCATAGATCATCTAATCTCATGATGTTCTGTACTTAGGCCAAATGAATATAAAAAAAGTCACAATAGAAGTTTAATACTTACACCGGACAATGTGCAAACACTTTGGAAAAATTATGTTAACAAACACTGGTATGAACATCACCCGGCACTTTTTACAGAAATAGAAGACATCACAATTCTTTGGGATTACACCATCTTTACATACAGGAAGATTGAAGTAAATAGGCCGGACATAATTGTCAAAAATCTGAAATGAAAAAAAATTGTCTACTAATTGATATGGCTTGTCCCAGTAGACATAGCAACCAAGGAATTTGAAAAACTATCGAAAAATAAAGACCTGGAAATCGAAATAGAAAAAAAATGTGAAAACTGAAAAACAAGTTTATATTTTTTCTTAGTTTTCCCTTGGGCTTGGAATGATAAAAAAATTGTGTTTGAACACATTGAACTTTTTCCATATAACACTAGTGATGTTATGGAAGTTGGAAAAACAAATCATGAAATGTAGCCATAACAACACACCACTACCTGCCTTTGGTTTTCTCGCAGACTTGGTAGGTAGCGTGACCATAGCAGAAATCAAAATATAATAATGATGATATCAATAATAATAATAATAATATTCCTTGATGCTACAGAGGGCATGATTCTCATGGCTTATGAACTTATTTAAATGGAGGTGTTAACCTGTACATGTTTTTGTGTTGGTGAATTAAGATGGGCTACATTAAATATTCTGTCAAATATCACAGATTAACTCATCAGTAGCCTGATCTTAACCAGTAGGTTATGTCTCCTTAGAGCTGACGCACAGATGGTCATGAGCGAGAGTAGTTGGGGATCAGGAAAACTGAGGCAGCCAAGTCGACTTAGGAGTCACATATAGATACTTGGGAACACCTTCAATCGGAGACCATCTGAGCGGAGTGGGTTACTCGACTTGAAGGTATTTTTAAGTGGTCCCAAACTGCAAGGTTATGCCATGCTTTTATTAAAACCTATCACCATATCGCGCACTTTGCCTTGAAGGATAAGTACATTTAAGGTGGCTTTTTTTAAAATGGGGGCTTGCATGTTTCATTGATACTAAGAACGAAGCTGTCTGGAGTTTAAACTCCTGTAGGGACACCAATGACAGTAAGGTCGAGGAGGAGGGACCAAACTGAATTCGACCAATCCTCGAAGATCCCAACATCAGAATAGGCAAAGATCTACATAATCTCAATAACCAAAATGGCGGAAGTGGGCAGCGCCAGTCTGGATGGGGTAACCAAGGCGGACCTTGATAAATCCAGCATTTAACAGCCAGATGCAATAAGGTTTGCCAGATCTCACTAGTCTCAATCCCCATTTGAGCCATGAGCGAGGCTCTTATGACCAAGTGTGTAAACTTCTCCGTAGTGCAGAGTTGTTCACCAAAATCAAATTCACGCGAATGACCTCGTCAAACTCACTTTGACTACTCTTCAGGAATAGACTGGGTCTTAACAGCCATTTCTACTACCGCCACCAGAGAGAAGAAAGGGAAAAAGGAGAGAGGATGTCGATCCCGATGCTCAGATGTGAGTGGGTACTGACTATTATATCGTACACATTTGGCTGTGTCAAGTATACCATTATCAGACTGTTATAATGGTTTAATCATGGACATATGAGGGCCTCGTATATTTGTACCATAGCGTCATTTTGTTAGCTGCTGAATAATAATAATAATATATTAGAAGTCAAAAGTCATAGATCGTGTACATGAAATATAGTTTAGAATAAATCTCTGTAAAACAAAATATTTTTGATAAAACATAAAAAAATTGAACTTAAAACAATTTAAAAAAAATGTTGGCCTATTTTGATATTCTTTAAAATGGATGTTAATAAAAAATTTATCTTTCCCGGAACATTAAGAAAATTACCTAAATTGAAATAAACCAACGCCGTCATAAAAAAGGTTGTTGACCTCACAGAAAAGAAAATGATGAAAATTCTTTTGTCTATAATTAGTCTCTGACGATTTAATACAAATTAAAAATGTCGAATAAAATATTATCTTTTAAACCATAATTAATTCTGATCAATTACATGGGAGAGTCAGGATCTGAAATGAGGAGGAAAAAATCTAAATAATGTGTGTATGCGTGCGTGTGTATGAGAAAGAGAGAAAGAGAGAGAGAGAGAGAGAGAGAGAGAGAGAGAGAGCGTCTTTATTTATCTGTTCTTGTTTATAGTAAGATATATATATATATATTACAAAAAATGGAAAACCGTAAACCGTGTTGTCACTAATCAAAATAAAGCCATCAAATCTAAACTAGCGATGACCAATATAGTATATCAATTTCACTTCCCAATACAAGACTGTGTTTCTTGTCATAAATCAATTACCTATATTAGACTTACTTCTACTTCCTTGAATAGACGCCTCATATGTCACTTACCAGATCAAAGCGTAATAATAAAATATCTAACCACCCACGATTTACAAGATCCCTTAAGGAAAATACTGGTCGAAAACACAAAAATTGTATAAAAGTCAAATTACAT